TGACAAGTCACTCGTCGCTAAGGCTACCATCGTCAGCCTATGGAAGACAATATGAACGACCTCCAGCAGAGAAAATATATCTGCAGTAGAAATGGGATTAGTAATTTGTTTTCTTTTTTGTGTTATATGTTGAAAAAATATTAAAAAAAAAAACATGATTTTCTAATAGTTATTTTAGTGTACTAGACAATAGTCACCAACTTGTAAATGAAAGGTGTTCTTTCTTCTTAAGTAAATTTCTGGTATGAAATTATCTTCTTAACGATAGCAAAAATATTAACATCCCACCTTATGCCATAGGACTACAATGACGAAATTTCCCGTCATCCGCCGTTAAATAACTGTTGTGACACTGAAGGCAGCCTCTACAGGCGTGAAAAATAATTTAATGAAAAACGATTTTGGCGATAAACAAAAATCTATCAAAATCATAAAATTTGGTGATCTCTCTTTCTGCGTCATTATACAAGAGAATGTAACGATCCTAATTGATTGTGCATTGGTATACGCAATTGATGATACTCAAAAAACATGACCAATTCAATGCAATGGTGTATCGCTTCGAAATTAGTGATTTATTTTGCCCTTATTCGTCGATAAATATTCGAATTCCGATACTATAACCAGACCTAGACTTATACCTGTCCGAAATTTTATGCAAGTAGTACTTGGCTATTGATGAGTAATGAAAAGAAACGGATTTAGTTTTGACGACCCGTGATGTGATAGCGTTAATAGTAGGCGAAGGTTATGTACAATAGTTAGTGTCTATAGTCTATTTCAACACCGAAGAAAATTATGTCGTCTCTTACACGCACTATAGGGCATTTAAATTGTGACGCATAAAACCTGGAAGTTGAGTAATACTTGCTAATGTGAAATACAAAGTTACTTCCGTCAACAGTCGTCTGAGATTAGATAGGTCATTCGTTTTTACCGAGTATAGCCAATATCAGATTTCATTATGCGAGTCAATAGTCTCATTATTGTATTATAGGTTGGAAGGATTTTCTTGCTATATTTATGTCTATATGTAAAATATATCGTGTTAGTTTCAGATTACAGAATTATCCATACTAATACAACCGATATAATGTTTACGGGGAGGTATCAGTTTTTATGACGAAAAGAACAATGCAAATTATATATATATATATATATATATATATATATATATATATATATATAAAATCTAAAAGATAGAGGTTTCAGAAATATATGTGATTAGCAAAATATGTCATATACAAGACAAACTTTTATTTTATTATCTTACATGTTAATATTGGTTCGTTCGCGTGACCAATGTTAGTTGATATTGTTAACTTTTGTTTTCGTTCGACTTTAATAGTACTTGCGACACTTTATTTATATATTTCTTCCCTTATATTACTATAGTTGAATATTAAGACTATTGATTTTTAAACTAAATCTTATATTATTCAAACATTATTATATTCGACACTTTGTATTTTAAATTGACACAGCTTCTTTCATTTATTAAACTGTTTATATTACGTTTATAGGCCTGCGTGTTTGAGAACTCTTAGTAAAATCCTGCGTACACCATTGTAGGGGAAACCATCATCTTCCAGTGTCCAGCTATTCTAGGCTGCTACCTGGATAGAATGTTAGTAAGAAGGGTCGACCTAGATTTACTAGATTGCCCCACGTTTAGACTATTCGTCAGCGCTCCGATGGTATTAGATACTAGGCTTAGAATGGCTGGACACTGGAAATTCAGTCTGTCCTTACTAGACAGGTGGAACTTCCAGCAACAGCTCATTAGATTAGTGCAGTGGGAACTAGTGCAGGTGGTTATTCGGAATAAATAGTAGGGGAGGCTTAAGGATACGATTAGATCCTTCACCACCGAGTATAGCCGAATAACGTCTCGCCTTAGATAGGGGTTAAAAATGTGAAGGCCCTACACGGACGGTGGTTGCGGGGCTTCTCTAGAGATAGCCGTAGCTAGAAAATCTCTGAGGCGTGAGGCTAGCAAGCTCTATCAAAGTCAGGTAGTTAGACATAAGTTAAACAAGATGTCTAACGAGGCTGTAAACATGGGCGCAGAATTGCGCAACGAAGAGATCCGTCGAGGTTCCGATCGTTACATTCGTGAAGTCATTACATCGTAGGGCCGTTCTCTGGGTTCGGTCAAGTACATGTGCCTGGGGTTTCGGTGGCATCTCAAGATCCGTTTTTACCAAGGAGCCTAGTCTCAGTGTCGACGTGTTTTGCAACTATTTGGCTGACTTTCCTCAGCCTTTCGCCGACTGAAGCGGCTAGCTGCGACGGTGAGTTCCAGAGTGCGAAGTTACCTTGACATTAGGCAGTGGCAAGCCTCCGGCGCATGATGGTCTACCCTACGAAATGTACCTCAGGCTGTCAAACGTATTAGTCCCGATTTTGACTGTCGTGTTCAACAACTGATTCGGGCAGGGGTCTATCTCCGACTGGATTTCCAGGTTGTGATCTGCGCTGTTGAAAAAAGGCAATATAGTTGGGAGGAATTTAGAGGACTACATGCCCATAACGCTGCTAAACACAGAGTTAAAGATTTGGGCCAAGATCCTGAGGGACCGTTTGCAGTCAGTTGTTGGATCACGAGCAGACTTTAGCTGTGAGGGGACGAACAATTCAAAGCAACCTGCACGATCATAGAGGGTGTAGAAGACGACAAGCGAGCCACGCAGATCAATTTAGAGTCTTAGGCATGTGACAGAGTTCCCTCAATACCTGGCTGCTGTCCTGCAGGCCGCCGGATTCGAACCCGACTTCTGCATGTAGATCATCCTCCTGTATCGCTCCCTCAGTGCTGTGGCACAGTTGAACGGGAAGCGTTCGAGCGCTTTTGCGCTGATCCGGTCGGTCCGACAGGGGATTCCACTATCGTCGTTACTTTATGCTTTGGCGTTGGAGCTCCTCCTTCGCCGGCTGCAGTCAGGCACTACACGGAATCGCCGTTTTCCCTGGTAGAGCTCGAGCAAGGTTTTCTGCGTACGCCGATGACGTATCCATTTTCGTGTCGTGCCGCAATGATATTAAGGTGGTACAGAAGGCGCTTGAATGGTACGGGGAGGTGACGGGAGCCAAATTTAACCGCTAGAAGTCTTCCGGTTTGCACTTAGGAGCATGAAAGGGGGTCGAGCTTCCAGGGACCTTTAGCTGGATTGATGAGCCCGTCCGCATTCTTGGACTGTGGTTCGTGCACGGACTCCAGCAGGAGAAGAAGGGATCAGAAGTAGTGTCAAAGGTCGGAGCTTTGTCCGGACTCGAATTCCTTAAAGGCTGAGGCGTGTGCCACTTACGTCTTGCCCCTCATCCTTTACCTTTTGACGATACTTCCTCTTTTCAGGCACCGTACGGTGACGATCGAGTGTTTGTTGACAAACCACTTGTAGGGTGGTCGCGAAAACAAGGTTTACAAAGAAGCCTTTTACCAGCGTCCGTATCAGAGAAGGGGGCGTCTTGAAGTGCGACACCTAGCGAGTCATCACCACGTCATGGCTTTTCTACGCCGCGTTTTGACGGAGGGATTGGTTTTGGCGCGGATTATTAGGGATGACTTCCATAGCCTTACTATCATTCCTCCCATTTATTGGATGAAGCGCCGTCGCGGTCGCGGGAGGTTGTCGAGGCTTCCTCAGCGACTGCTGGTCGGCCTTGAAGGTCACTCCTCGGGCCAGTTACCTTTTTTGTCCTCGGAGACTATTGTATCATGAATGAGTGGAGGGAGTCGCTAAGGATTCTCTGTGTGAGCGGCTTGGCTTATCGGCATCAGAGTTGCGCTCTTTGTGGTCTTGGGCTCAAGCGGCGGATTATCTCAGCGGCTGCGTCAGCCTTTGATTCTTTCTATTCCGTCATTTTTTTTCCTTATTATTCTGAGAGGGTGGTGGGTCGGACTAATATTTGTTTTCTTTTTAGTTTTTTTTTGTGCCACATTTTTTAGTTTGCCCCCCCCCCTGCGAATATGCGGTATTTTGGTATATGTAGGATTGAGTGGTGATGGATAAGCTGGCGATTGATTCGGAAGGTGCTACCTCTCAATGATGTAACTTTCAGATGAGGGGAGGCAAATTTGCCAGACTGTCGCCGGTGAGACCTTGGCTTAGAAGAAACGGCTTCGCACGCCTTATACCAGTGTCCTCAGGTGCGCCCTTTCTGGAGTTATGTCAGCCAGATGACGACTCGTATCACTCTCGACCAGTTCGTGTCGATTTCGTGTACGCGTGTAACAATATGTCGCCCCGTTCTCCAGGTTAAAACGGATGGGGATTTTTTGCATTGCTACCGGTGACAAAAATGCTGGTGTGGACGTCACGAAAAGGGGGCATTTTGCAGAATGGACGTTACTCGCCTCAGGATCTGGTTGTTTGCTTCAAGCATCAGCTTAGGGTGAAAACTAGGTCTAATCGAAAGCGAAATGTGGGTGACTGGACTAGCCTGGTTCGTGTGAACGAGGTTAGCCTTGATTTTCTCTTTTCTCCCCTTAATGCTACGGGGTGGTTTTCCGTGGGCATCCCCCCAGTTAAGTTAGGTACTATTTTGTTTCTAAGTTAATTAACAAATAAATGGAATGATTAGTCAAAGTAAACCTTGATTTTATCTTCTCAGTCAATTATGTGCCATGTGTGATACACGCTTAGACGATCATGTATCCTTCGATAAATGACTGACGTGAAAGATTTTTTCCAGCAGTTGGTTGCCATTTCTTTCTGCGGTAGACCAGTGGCCATACAAGTCTATAGAACCCGGTCTGTCTTGCTATTTACCCATAGCTGGGAGGAGAAGAAGAGGATGCGTATCTTTCTCAAGGGTATTAACACGTAAGTGAATGTAATGGATTCGACTGGAATTCGAACTCATCTCTATGATTCTTTTTTAACTTCTAAAAATCCAAATAACAAATGAATTCCTTTTAGATATAATTTCATGTACAGCGGTTTTGTATATTTTCCTTTCTTACATTTGATATTAAAAAAAAACAACAACAAACAGGCTTACGGCCACATCACGTTGAAACACCGGCTCTCGTACGATCTCCTAAGTTAAGCAACGTCGTTGCTTTCAGTACCTAGATGGGTTACCGCTTGGGAATATTAGCTGCTGTAAATTTGGATCTGCAGGTCGTTTAATGGATAATGATTCGCAGTTATTAATCAGAAACTCAGGCTCCAATTCCTTTTTGGATTTTTTATATTTCCTTACGCGTAAATACCTTGGATATTTATTATTATTTGCATTATTACTTTCAGTATCTATAGTGTGTATGTTACAAGTAAGTTTAACGTGCTAGAGTGGCAGTTTGAATTCTGATTTGTCCTTCTCAGAGACGGGTTGCTAACAAAGACTAGACGAGAGTGGAAGCGGTAGATTCAGTAATTTCACAAGAGTATTTGCATCCGATAACAGCTGCACTACAGCGTGACCCAACCTAAGTCTTCAATCAGTCTATATAATCCACATCTTCTTCTCCCAGCTATATGGTTAATTTGTAGATTTGTATCACTAAATTATTATTATCTAAAAAAAAATTCTTACAATCTACAAATAATTTCTGTTTTTAAATATCCTGCAAAAGGTAGATAAGAACTAGAAAATTTATCAACGAACCAACGAATAATAAAAATCACAATTTATTTTGACCCAGAACGCATTTCATTATCAACTATAAATTATTTCTTCAAATAAACATTTTATTTGTCATGGCGCCAGAAATCAAAGGAAATGGAAAGAAAGAAATCATGGCTATGAGTCCGTTTCTATTTAAACAATTTGAAAGACATTAATTAAGGTTTGTTCTATTGCTGGTTCATTCCTGAGTTTCTTTTGTCTTGGTTTCAGAATTCTTCAAAGACAAACAAACACCCCATAAAATCCATTCGCTAAAAGTACTGATTTGTTTGTCGCTTTTATAACTAACTTCCAAGTAAAAACCATTCATCTTTTTTTTTTAAATTATCTTTATTTTTTGCATATAAAAACATTATCATGTGCGACTCCGTTAGAAGTATATGTCTCCATTCACGAGAAGATATTTTACAAGCAATCAATTTATTTATGAAATAAAAAATAACTTTAAACGATAGTTGCGTGATGACGACTAGAAATGAAAAGGAAGTCAGTCTATTGTCCGCTTTGTATATGATAATGAACCCAGTAATGTAATTTTATTTTAATTCACTTGGTAATTTTCTAGGTATTCATAAAAAAAATGTAATTTTTAAATTTTTTTCTTTTGTGCGTCAAATATTGCACAGTGCACAAGAAAGGTGGCTTTCTTTTAGCACTGCCGACCCAGCCCTATGAAGTGATATAAAAGCTAAACAAATCACAGGATATGGGTGTTTTTTTGATTCCCTTTAAAACGACAAATATTAATTACTGTATAATTCCTCTACTAATTAGTTCATATATTTTCATTTGACTTCACTCGGTACAACGCTACAATTACTTTGTATTTCGCAAAAAAAAAACATCTGACGAAAAGACTAATTTTTACCCAAACACACCAATAGACATACACAAGTACAGGAATCCATCGATTAATGCGGTTGATTTTTACATCGGTAAGTATTAAAAAAAAACAGTTTTCTCTTACTATGGTTAAGCTGAAAAATGTTTTACCACAATAATTGAGTATTATGTATGAACTACAATTTTTAGCGTATTAATTGAAAACGCATTAATCAAATGTTTCTTGTATTTATCTATCACACAGCAGACCCTGAGTTTTGCTAGTCATGATGAATGGTTGTCCAGTCAAGAACTGTTTTTGCTGGGACGTATATTGGGATTCAAGAACACTTCATCCTTCAAGTGGAACTTGGGCATACGATCTATCGTTAAAAATACTGGAAAATGTGTCGGTTTAAAAATAACCATAAATACGTAAAAAATGCGTATATTGTCGAAAATTACTTTTTCCACAATATATCTATTTGTGCTATGTTATAATGTTTATTACCTAAACAATAATAACACTGAATATTTTTTTAAAACATTAAAGTATATTTAATCACATCTCCCTAATAGCTGTCATGATCTGTAAAATGAAGAATGTTTTGCCGCACTAATCGATTTTTTTTTTTTTTTTGGTTTAGTTTGGTTTGGTTTGTTTTACGTCATATCAATCTCAATGGGTTATTTAATATCGACAAATTTTATTGCTAGTATTTTTTTTTCTAAAAATGTATTGCTGGTAATAATTCTTTACAAAAAAATGTATTTCTGGTAGTAAAACCTATTTTTACACTTTCCTAGTATTTTGGTTTGTTTTGGTTTGTTTTACGGTATATCAACCTTAATGGGTTATTCAATGCTGGCAAGATTTTTATTACTGGTAATATTTTTTCCCAAATATATTGTTGGTAATATTTTTCCAGAAATGTAACGATAGTAATAATTTTAATATATATTGCTGGTAATATCTTCTTTAAAAAAAATGTATTGCTGGTAATAATTACTCCAGAAAGTATTGCTAAAACCCATTTTTATATTTTCATAGTGTCTTGACCAATTTTGAGTGGTTAACTCATAGCTGGGAGTTTAACAGATGCTATTATCCCGGGTCAGAGTGGACCTGGAAACACCATCAATTAAGAGGTGGTTCCACACTCCTCAAAATCTTCTGATCAGGGGCCTTGCTTTTGGATTTAGTTTATCGTCTTAACCAGGGCGCTCGAGTTTATGTAGATAGACATTTTAGCGCACTAATCGAAAATACATTAATCGAATGCGCATTAATCGAGTGATGCTTGTATGTAGGTATGTATTCCTGTGTATAAACAGGCATGTCTATGTTTTTCTCTTTATACAATATATGCTTTGACTGCGTAAATCTTTGTGAAAGTAGAGTGAGTAGTGATGGAATCCGCCAGATCATCTTTAGTTGTACTAAGCCTTCAACCAATACAAGATTCAAGAGCCAATTAAGATAAAGTGATACTGAATGATGTGCTTTTATGGGCGTAAAAAGATTAATTAAGTGTACATTATGATGATATGAAAGATAAATAGCGGTGATCATGGAAGCATCCTTTCGGGAGTCTGGCCCCAAATGCTTTATATACACACCCACTGTTACTGTACATATGTCCCGAAAATAATTGGTCGTAGGATTCATGATCGTGATATGACGTTGTTGGTTGGTGTTTCGAATGCTGATTTTCAAAGCACGTTTTGTGCAACCACAATTTTCCACCTCCCCTTTCACCACACCGATTTGGCCCAATACCAGAAAATATCATGGTTAGTAAACATTTCTAACAATCTTGAGAATTTTGTGAGGGCGAATATGCCCTCAGCGTGCAAATGACGGTTTATGGCCAATGAAAAACATTGTAAAATGTAGCCTGCAATAAGGAAATGTGGCTACGACAGCAGTATAAAGTGATGGCGCAAGTATGACGTTTATTGCTAAGAAGGAGACAATAAAATAGATATTAATGTTGCTGGCAAATATCTGGGACCAATAAAAGTCGTGTTGATTGCATTCATAGCTCTAATTTTCCCTTAGGCAATCGTAAACCTCGGACGTATTAAGAAACATGATTCTATAGATATTGAAAGTAATATTGCAAATAATAATAAAAATCCAACTAGTGTCGCTGGTGACAAACTTCGTGAGGGATAAACAGTTACATTCCTGCTTCTATAAACGAGGTCTCAAGACCAATCGTCACTTTTCAAATTCATCGGGTTTGCGATTAAATATGTATTTCAGGTTTCCTTTCTTATTTTCCGCCTGCTGGTCTCACTTTGATTTACTCTGTTTTATTCTATATTATTTTTTTTTTATTTATGTAACTTCGACTTACAGAGAAGTTGTTTGTTTATTTACATAACCTTGAATTACAGAGATGTTGTTTGTTTATTTATGTAACTTTGAATTACAGAGATGTTGTTTCTTTATTTATGTAACTTTGAATTACAGAGATGTTGTTTCTTTACTTATGTAACTTTGAATTACAGAGATGTTGTTTCTTTATAGAAGTAACTTTTAATTAGAGAGAAATTGTTTCGTTATTTACGTAACTTTGAATTACAGAGAAGTTGTGTCTTTACTTATGTAAAATTGAATTACAGAGTTGTTTCTTTATTTACATAGCTTTGAATTACAGAGAAGTTGATTCTTTATTTACGTAACTTTGAATTACAGAGAAGTTGTTTCTTTATTTACGTAACTTTGAATTACAGATATGTTGTTTCTTTATTTATGTAACTTTGAATTAGAGAGAAGTTGTTTCTTTATTTACGTAACTTTGAATTACAGAGAAGTTGTTTCTTTACTTATGTAACTTAGAAATAACTTTGACAAGTTGTTTCTTCATTTACGTAAATTTGAGCTACAGAGAAGTTGTTTCATTTTCATCGTATTCGGGTTATGGCTTTTCACACTCACCGGTCAGCATATTCATTGAAATTTACACATTAAAAGTATTTTCTTCATCCTATCTTTCGTATTTCTAATGATAATCGCTGAAATCAACCGTTACACGCATTTTCAACTCCTGCTCCTATGTCGAGAATTTATAAATTACAAGGATACAAGGCAATGCTCGGGAAAAAGTATAGGAAATCATTGAATAAATTCTAACATATATTTCATTAACAAAGAATGATATACCTAACCTCATTCTTACAAATTTCACAGAGATTTCAGGTGGTGTCAACTAACTGACCGCTCATTTTTCTGTGTGACTGTTTGATATTTCGGTTAGGTAATCCCTGTTACAATAATTGCTCACACATATTTCTATTTTATCAACATCCAATTTGCACTTATTTCCTATTCTTACACCCATAAAAACACATCATTCAATATCCCTTTATCTTCCGTGGCTTTGAACTATGCAAATTTAGTTACAGTTTTTGGGAGAGGGTCTTAGAATCAGCTGTCAAGCATTTAAAAATGAATGGAAACTCTCTGAGTGGAGCTTACTTCTGTTCTATGATATAGGAAGGCAACTATCGTCATTCAATGCTGTGGACGGAGCAAAGATGGCCATAACTGAAAAATCTTTCAACGGGTGGCACTAACATTAAAGGTGAACTGAAAATTTACCAATAAACTGGCGATGCTACTTTTGAACAATGAACATAAGTCTCAG